GTTCAAGCTCAAATACTTGAAAGATTTCTACATGCCTAAGAAGCTGAAATGAAGACCACATTAGATATTTTTTAGATGATTCTATTTTGCCTTGTTGGATTATTTTTACTTTTTCATTTTGTTATTCTTTTTTTCATTGAGTTTGTTACGTTGTAATGAGAGCACCTCTATAAGAGGATTTGCTGAGATTATGAAGGATATGCGGTTATGAGGTGCCTTCCCTCGAAGAAGGGATAGTTTCTCTTGCATTTTTTTTTCTTTATCTTCTATCTTTTGCCATTACAGGGGCAGATGTTGTGTTGGGGATACGTTGGCTCAAATTATTGGGCCTTATCTGAACGGATTATGACAGCCTCACTATGAAATTTGTGAAGGATGGTAAAATTATCTAATTATAGGGCTCTACTCGGTCCAAAATGGATGAAATAACAGCCTATCAACTTAAACGATTGCATGCCACAGATTCTATCTTCAAATACTTCCACATTTAAGTCATACCCATCTTTGAGGCCCAGGATCCTCCCTTAAACATACCATCCACCATTGATCATCTTCTTCAATAACATACCATCCCACTTGCCACTCCCATGACCACAAAATTCCTCTTATGGAGGGATTCCATCCTGTAGTGGTTAGACCCTATCGTTACCCGCATTACCAGAAACAGGAAATAGAGAAAAAAATTTCTGAGATATTGGAGGCTGGAGTAATACAAAGTAGTTTGAGTTCTTACTCATTGTCGGTCCTACTAGTGTGTAAGAAAGATGGAACATGGCATTTTTGCATAAGGTACAGGGCCCTCAATTCAGTAACAAGCAAGGACAGATATTCAATCCCTACTATGGATGAACTGATCAATGAACTTTTGGGGCTGAATTGGTTCTCCAAATTGGATCTATGTTCTGTTTATCACCAGATACGTATGAGCACTAAGGACATTTATAAGTCTTCTTTGACGATATTCTAATCTATAGGAACAACGTTGAAGACCATGCAACTCACCTTTGGTTAGTCTTTCAGATCTTATTGGAGCATCAATTCTGCCTAAAGAGGTCCAAATGCGTATTTGCTCAACCTTTAATTTACTATTCGGGGCATGTCATATCCAACAATGGGGTGGAACCAGAGGAAGGGAAGATATCTGCCATGGTGAATTGCCCCACTCCCCGTAGTATTAAGCAATTATGGGGCTTTCTAGGACTGACAGAGTTCTACCACCGCTTTATTAAGAAGTACACCAACATAGCTTCTCCTTTGACTGATCTGCTAAAAAAAGAGGCTTTTGATTGGACTTTGAATGCCTAAATAGCCTTTGATAATCTCAAGAAGGCCATGACAAAAGCGCCAATGTTAGGGCTTCCTAATTTTGATCTTCCCTTTTAGATTGAAATAGATGCCTCAAGTCATGGAATAGGGACTGTATTATTGCAGCAGCAAGGGCACCCAATTAGCTATTTTAGCAAGAAATTCTGTGAGCATTTGGTGCACTCTTCAACATATGTCTGCGAACTTCATGCTCTAACGGAGGCGATCAAAAAATGGCGTGACTACTTATTAGGAAGACGCTTTACAATACTCACTGATTAGAAAAGTTTGAAAGAGCTGATGACTCAAGTCATCTAAACTCCGAAACAACAATATTATTTAAGCAAACTCTTAGGGTATGATTATGTGAATAAGTATAAACTAGGGGCTTCTAATTGTGTTGCTGATGCTCTCTCTCATCAATTTGAAGGTCTTGAGATCACTCTAACAGTAACACAATCATTGTTAGCCCTGACTGTGTCTCAATTTGAATTGGTTCACAAACTGAAGGCCACTTACAGTAAGGACTCTGCAATTTCTGAAATTTTATAACAAGTTCAAACTGATCCTTCCTCTCTTATGGATTTCACAATTGTGAATGGCTTATTACTTTTCAAGAAAAAGATATTTTTGGGGGATAATTCTGAACTGAAACAATTGTTGTTACACAAGTTCCATGCTACTCCTGTAGATGGGCACATGGGAGTCCAGAAAACTTATGACAGACTGAGTGATAACTTTTTCTGGCATGGAATGCGAAAAGATGTTACAGAATTTGTAGGACGCTACTTCGTTTGCCAACAGATGAAACCCCCTACTTATGTACCGTATGGGTTGCTTCACCCTATTCCTCCTCCAAATGGTGTCTGGGAGGATATTGCCATGGATTTCGTGGTTGGTTTACCCTCTTACAAGGGCAAGACTACAATTTTGGTGATTGTTGACCGATTCTCTAAGGAAGGGTAAGACTACAATTTTGGTGATTGTTAACCAATTCTCTAAGGCTGGGCACTTTGGTCTGTTACCTCTGAATTTCACTGCATTCGGGGTTGGGGTTGCTGAATTATTCGTGGACATGGTTTGAAAACACCACGGAATGCCCCTCATCATCATCTCTGAAGAGATTCAATTTTCCTTAGCAATTTCTAGCAGCAGCTTTTCAAGATGAGTGGAACTAAACTGCGTATGTCAACTGCGTACCATTCCCAGAGTGATGGCCAAATCGAAGTGTTGAACAAGTTATTGCAGTAGTACCTGAGGTTATTTGCTCATAGTAAACCTCATTCTTGGGGCTAGTATCTACCTTGGGCAGAGTGGTGCTACAATACTTCAGTACACTCCTCTACAGGTATCACTCCTTATAAGGTGGTCTTTAGGAAACCACCACCCTCGATGCCTCGTTACTACATAGGGAGCTCCAACTTAGAAGTTGTTGATACAGAACTGCAAACACGTGATGAGATCTTTGCAAAGGTGATGTCAAAATTGTCTAAGGCGCAGGCGGCTATTAAACATTATGCTGATAGACACTGCTTACCCACTCCATTCAAGGTTGATGACCTTGTCATGGTGCGATTACGCCCTTATTGTCAAACTTCTCTTGCTGGACGGCGTTTGAAAAAGATGGTTAAGAAATTTTATAAGCCCTTTTAGATTGTGGAGTGCATTGGCGACGTTGCTTATAGGTTGGACTTACCTCCCTTCTCTAAACTCCACCCCGTGTTTCATGTTTTACTGTTGAAGCCCTTCAAGAGATTGTCATATGATGTTCCTTTGGAACTACCATATCAGAATTATCTCGCTCAGCCATACGTATACCCAGTGGCTGTGTTGGTTGTTGACAATAACTCCCCAAATAAGGTTTTGGTTCAATGGAGTGGGCTTTACCCAGAAGATGCAACCTGGGAGGACTTGCACTCTCTCACACAAGATTTTCCTACTTTACACCTTGAGGACAAGGCATTTGCTCAAGGAGAGGGGGATGTTATGTATGAATCAGAAGAACCCGAGGAGGATATGAATGTGTTAGAGCCCAATGACTTGAAAGATGAAGATGAAAGCACACTATCCTTGGGTCGAGGCAAGAGGGTGAAGTTCAGGCCCAAATACTTGAAAGATTTCCACATGCCCAAGAAGCTGAAATGAGGACCACATTAGATATTTTCTAGATGATTATGTTTTGCTTTGCTGGATTATTTTTACTTTTTTATTTTGTTATTTGTTTTTTTGTTGAGTTTGTTACGTTATAATGAGAGCACCTTTATAAGAGGATTTGTTGAGATTATGAAGGATATGGAGAATCATATTTGAGGACCCTTGTGGTTAGGAGGTGCTTTCCCTCGAAAAAGGATAGTTTCTCTTACTTTTTCTATTTTTTTATCTTTTGTCTTTGCATTAGTTCAAGAGAAAATTTAACTGCAGTTATTATTTATTTATTTTTAGTTTTATTTTTAATTAAAGTAAAAATTTTATTTCAGTAATTTGTGTTAATCTTACATATAAACTTTTATAATATAAATTATTAAGATAACATTTTAATTAAAAAATATTTAAGGAACTGCGCCTTTAATGTCACCTATGTAATTCTTTGGTTGGCCATCTAATGCCTTGGATTGTAGCATGTGAATATTACGATTACGGGCCTGTTTGTTCTTCGTTCAGATTCCATTGCATTATTAGGATAAAATTTTCTTATCATCCATTATGTATGGTAAATTATGCTAAACTCACATATAAGTATTAATTTAGTATCAAGAGATAAGACGTTTTTATTGAAAAAGAATATATTCATTATATTAAAGTTGTAAAAATATAATAAATATTATTTTTAATAAAATCTTATTATTATTAGTTGCTAGAATTAAAGCTAATATCTTTCTTAATTTTATTAACTCTGTTTTACGAACAGAAAAAAGCAGTAACTAAGGTGAGTAAGAATCAAACTAAAACCAAAACCAAGAACTTTTTCTCCATGGAGCTTGATTCGATAAATAAGATCAATTCTCATTTGCCAACAAAACTCGATTCATTTGGTCAATAGTTGGCTTTTTTAAGCATACTAACTAACCGAGGTTTAATATCCCTAGTGAAAAAACAATTCTTGGACATAAAACCATAGAAGTCTCGATCCTCTTTGAATTTTTCGACATCACTGCATGTTTTTTAACAGGGTTAAGATATTCACCAGCCTGCGACGAATGAGAATCTCAAGTGCAAGTGAATTAAAAGTCAAGCTAAGTTTCTGATACGTTGTTATGTACTGAGGGAGGTTTGCCTAATGGGAAAAACGATGTTAAAAATTAGGTGTTGAAGTAACGATTCTTACTAATAAATGCTCTAAGATTATTAGTTAAGAAATCAATAAAAGTTCACGAAGGAAGTAGATTGTAATATTTTTTAATAAAAATATTTACACTTAATTATTCAACCAATACTCTGTCTTCATTAATATTTTCCCAAAGTAATTTGTCCCTTTAAAAGTACCGAATAAGATTTGTGGCAGAATAGCAGAGAGGATGAGCCAACAAAATTAGGACCAGTAGTCGATATAAGATAAACGAGACAACGAGTTGTGGGCTCATTCATTTTCTAGTTTCTACGGTGACATTGGGATGCAATAGGTCTAAGCCTGAAATTAAAATTTATAAATATTATTTGCTTGAGTCTAGATAGATGATCTAATACAGTTTACTTGGCACGATAAAAATAAAGTAGACGTTTATCTACACTAGGATCTTATTCAAGCATCACATTCTAGACAAAGTATAGTCCATAGCATCCACGAGGAAATCTGCACCCACAAAAAAATAAACAGTGGCTGTAAGTAATACATAATAATCGAAAGTGTACAAATGTGAGAGCTTGAGGCCAAGAGCAACCTGCATCTTCTTTGGTAAAACAAAGGGGAGGTGTAATTCTGAACACATTTCCATAATAGCCACCCTTTCCAATCAGCACTCCTAATTCTGTGGTAACAGCAGAAAAGCTTATTATTTAGTCATTATAAAACCGATATTATGGTTAGACCAGAAGACACTCAAGAGGGACTGAGACTTTGCCTTTCATTTGGTCCATCACATGCAGGGTTTCATTCTTTGCTGGTGTTTTATGTTGGCGATCAGTGACAAGTTCAACTCCAAGCAGCATACCTCTTCCTCTCACATCACCAATTACTACACAAGAAAACCAAGAAGTTTCTTAAGAAATTATAAAAGGATAGATTAAAAAAAAATTTGATTCTTGTGTGACACTAATGCTTCTCTCTAAAGGTCCTAGAGTGAAATTCATGCATGGTTTTGTTGTGTATTAATCTAGAGAAACAAAGGAATAAGAAGTAATGAAAGATTACATTCATATTTGTCCTTTAGCTCATTAAGCCTATTTTTCAAATAGGAGCCCACTACATGAGCATTTTCTTGAAGCTTCTCTTTCTCTATTACTCTTAAAACAGCCAATCCTGCAGCAGTGCTGACAGGATTCCCACCAAAGGTGTTAAAGTAACTTCGGTGAGTCAAGGCCTTTGCAATCTCAGGAGTTGTTACAACAGCACCAAGAGGAATGCCATTTCCAATGCCCTGCAAAAAGGAAAAATTAAGAAATAAGCCAACAATTAAGAGCATACAGACTTAACAAGTCAAGTATGATTGTATAATGTATATATAAAAATAAAGGACTAGAGTAGCAACTGGGAAGAGGGGAGAAAAGTTACCTTTGCCATTGTTACTATGTCAGGTACAACACCTTGGGCCTCAAATCCCCAGAAATGAGATCCAGTGCGAGCAAACCCAGCCTGAACCTCGTCAGCAATACAAAGACCTCCAGCTTTTCTAACACTACTGTAAGCAGCAGGCAAGTAACCTGGAGCCAATTCAACGATGCCCCCCACTCCCTACCACAAACAAGAGCACTGCTTGTTTACCAAAACGTTCATCTTATCACTATTTCATATTAGATAGGAAATTATACTAGTAAACTTAATATAGCATTTTACATCTCTTTGCTTTATTAGTCAGTTTGTTATCATAACAAGTTGAACCAGTTTATGCTTTCACAGATAGATAGATACCTGTATAGCTTCAGATATGAAAGCAGCAACATTTCCTGAAGTTCCGAAACTAATGATCTCTTCGACATCTCTTGCATACTTCTCACCATCAGAACCGAAAAGACCTCTATAAGGGTCTGGATTTACCGCATGATGAACACCACTCTGTTGCCAGCAAAAACAAAACAACAAATTAGCCACATAGTATTTCCCATCCCATTTTAACTTTAAACACTCGCTCCCAAAAGGTTATGCAGCATTTTGTTAGACAGGTCAGAACTTAGAAGGAACGTGAACACATTCGTTAACGGTCTTTTTTTAAAAGTTTTTGAAAACTATAAAATTACTAGAATCTTATTTATAATTTAATTAGTTATGTTTTCAATAAATTTTAAATAATAATTAAAAATATATTAAAAAAGTGATTAAAAGTGTAACAAATACTCCTATATATATATATATATATATATATATATATAAATGAATAGAACAAGGCTAAACATAAGTTTAAAAAGTATAATATTTTAATTCCACTAAAGAGGTGGAAAAAAAAAAAGGGACACAGAATCATCTCAATTCACTGTGTATCAAATGTTATCCTAAGATTGAAGCGGAACAGAACATAAATGTAAAGTAATAATGCAGAATATAGAAGAAATATCATAAGTGTGAATTAGCTTGGCAATTTGCCACAAAGACTATTGTTTTCCCTTAACAAGCATACTCTGTTTATTTAGCAGTATATATATATATATATATATATAGACACCACGTAACTATAATATTATTAGCGTAAGGGGGTCCACACTTTCCATCATTGTAAGAAATCATCGTCACGGCACCTTAGCACTGATCCCAAAGTACTTAGATAGAAAGTAAAAAAAGGAAAAATACTTTAATTTTAAATAAAGAGCTATATAATATTATGCTAATTTATTATTATTTTGATTTATTTAAAATGATGGTTTGCCTTTCTTTCTCTTTCTTTAAAAAATCTTTAGTTTCCATAGGAAAGTCCGTTGCAAGTACTATCAATAATGAAGGGTTCGCTTTCGTGGTGGACAGAAATGTCCAGCGAGGCCAAACTCCGTTGCTGTTGCTATCACACACGTACATATAAAGTTAGTGAAAGGGTGCGTCAGCTACTTACGAGTTAGTCCACTCCATTAGCTAGGTCAACTTCGTCCCAAGTGAACTTAAGACCATGATTCGTTCTTTATTAATTGAGTTGTGCAAGCAACTTTTACCACGGGTCCTAGTCCAAAGGGGCCATACAGCTCCATTACTATTATTATTAGTATTAGATTTAAAATCCCTGATATCTAACTACTACATTCACCATCTAAGTAATTCAAATCAGTTGGGTCAGACTATGAGCACGAAAGACCCCCTCAAATTTTTAAAGCAAATAGATCTTCAAAGAATCGATCTCAAGACTCTCATTGAATTAAAATGGCCCGGCCACCTCTTTTACTATTTATTTACGTTTATTACTAACAAGTGTTAAGAGAGTATAGGTTAAGGAATTAAAATAAAAATTAAAAAGTTAAGATGATGAAAATTCTAATATTATTTGAATGACTCGATCAAATAATAAATAACTGTTAGCAAATATTTTCATATAAAAAAGATTTGATTATTTCTTTCTCAATTCATGGAAATAATTTTTGTATAAGTTCATGATTTATTAAGAAATGATTAATATGAAATCTTCAGTTAAACATTTTAAGTAAAAACAATAGCATTTATAAAACGATTCTGTTAAAAACTCAAAATAAATATTTAAAAAAGGAGGAAGTAAATACCTGTACAACATTAAATTTCCAGATGCTTTGAGCTGTGGCTCCCATCGTTCCAGCTGCATTACCATGGTAAGAATTCCTTAGAGATATAATGTCATGGCAGCCGGTGTACAACCTTGCTATCAGTATCGCCAATTCGTTTGCTTCCGTTCCAGAATTTGTAAAAAACGCCACCTATGTTCAAAATAGACAAGGCTTGGATTTGAACATATATACTTGGATATAAATTAAACTGCCAAAACACTAGTCTATTACTTCTCCAACTCTTATATAAAACAATTAAGATAATTACTGTTAATAATAAAAATCTTAACTGACAAAAATAGAAATTCTTGGTGTAGGAACTTTATTCTTATGCGAACTTCAATTAATCTACCATACGCACACATTTATAAATATATTTTTCAAATCAAATAATATATTAAAGAAATTTGTTAATAAAAAGAAAGAATAATATTGTACTTAATATTTTTCTACAAACAGTATAAAAATTAGACACTAATTTTTATGAAACATATCTACCTTCTTATAATCAAACGGGATATCCAATACTTTGGTATAATAATATGGACATTAATTTGTGATGCAATAAAATATGTTTTAATGAAGGTTTTTCGGCCTAAAAAACATGTTAACAGTGGATTGTTTATTTGCACCTGCTAAACTAGATAACGGAGAGTTTTGTCGTTTGCGTGGCTCGACGTGTCAATTACATAGACAACGTCATTGTCATCATCAGCCCCGAAACCAGTCATTCTCATCGATATCACTCTACGCCACGCATAGCATCCGTTCCAGACCCCAGTCCCATGATACGAACATACTTATAAATTGACAAGGCAGTTTATTAACAATACTTATTGCGTACTCCATGTTACATGATCAAAACATGGTTATCTCTTCCAACTAATAAACGAATCTCATTTACTCATGTTTATTTTCTCTATACAACTTTTACTATATTATAATTTTTTTTAGTATATTCTTATTTATTTGGGACAACGAGAGAATCGTATTTGCTTCTATCACAGTAGATTCTTATCTGTGTTTATTAGTATATTCTAAGTGAAGTTTATTAGTATATATTTTTGTCTTTAATTTAAGTATTTTAATAAACATTATTTTGGGATTAAATATTCAAAAATAGAGTTTTTTTTTTTAAATTTAAAAAAGGAAGGTGGGGATTCTAAATGATACTTAAATCTTAAGTAATTAATTACTATTTGGTAAGTAAGAAATATTATATAGGCAATATTTCATAATCTATTATTGACGTGAATATCATGTAACCAACAACTCTTAAATACATAATAACATCAATGAATGAATTAAAAAATTAACTAATAAACATTCAAAATGAAAATTCACAATAAAAGATTTGACACAGCTTTTTATATTACTACCTCGGTCCTATTTGTATCGCTAATTTTTATAGTTTAAGACGACGGGTAAAACTAAATATTTTCGTAACAAAAAGAAAGAAATATTGAAGTGTTCACCTTAAGATTACCGGGAAGCTTAGAAGCCAAAGCCTCAGCAAAATCTGCGACGGCATGGTTCAGATATAGAACCGTTGAGTGCTGTAACCGCTTCGTTTGTTCCACGACGGCTGCGACCACATCAGGATGGCAGTGCCCGCAACCCACCGTAGCAATCCCCCCGAACCCATCGAGGTACCTCCTTCCTTTATCGTCGAACAGGTATTGCCTCCTCCCCTCCACCACGTTCAGCTGCAACCTCCCCCACACAATCACAACCCATGATTTGTTTGTTAGTTAGTTAGTTAATTAGTTACCGTTGCACAATGAAATAACAGAATAAAAACAGTTATTGTCGGAAGATGTTAGAGGGGAATGATCCGCTGCCGCGTGACCTCACCGGAGTCTTGTAGAAGTGGAGGATGGAAGGGCTGAGGTACTCCCTGCGCTTCGCGAGGATATCATCGCCGGAGGGACCGGAATACGCCGGCGGAGTGTAATCGAACGCCGGTAATTCTGGCACGGCGGGGACGGCATCCTTCGTCTTCTCCGTCGCCGGAAGAGAAACTCCCCGGCTAAAGAATAATCGAGTCGGCGGTAAAGACCGACGAAGGACGAGCCTTGCCGTTAGGGATCCCGTCATTTCTCTGGTGGGCGAGGAAAACGGTGAGCTCCGAGAATGTAGGACCCGACCCGACTTGGTGTTAGGAGAGAGATAAATGATGGAAAGAGAAAGGGGGGAATTTGGAGGGATGAGAAGAATCGGCGAGGGTTATATAGGGAATGGAAGAGGGGTGATGACGTGGAGAGAGGTGATTGGTTGAGAGTCACCGCTGCCAAATTCACTGCGGTAAATATAGGTTATGTGTCTGTTACAGTCTGTATTTGGCAAACGACAATTAAGTGTGCAATATTTATGATATTCACCGCACTTTCATAGCTGTTTTTATCTTGTAGATTCCAATTTTGCTACAGGGGAGAATCCCATGAATTTAGACACTTTTAATCTTTACAATTTTCTCCGATTTAAATGATGTAAAAATGGGATCCCATGTCATGACTCGAAATTGAGGGATGAGTTGGCTAATTAAATATGTATTACAATAATTTTTTTATAATATATTCAAGATTTGATTAAAATATACTTATAATGGGAATAGTTTTTATATTATTATTTAATTTTGAATTATCTTTTGGCTGATAATTTTAATTTTTATGACAACTGTTCTAAAAGTTATATCTATAATACTTCTCAAATAAATAAATAAATCAAAATTTTAATTTTTTTAAGATTTAAGTATATTTATATCTATATACTTTTATTTTCTATGGATATTGACATAATTAATAAAAGTATAACATTATTCTTACAAGAATCTTTTTGATTTTGACATAATTAATAAAATGAACTTGGAAAGTTATATTTGTTAGGTTTTCTGCTAAAAAAAGTAACAACTGCAACTAATTTAAATCTTACCTTATACTAATACTTAAATTAAATTCATTTTATTGTCTTTGATTGAATATAATCGAAACGTCACTGCACGTTTATCAACAAGTTACTAGTCGGAGATTTTTTTATTTATATTTTATAATTATTTTTCTTTGTTTCACTCATTGTTCAGTGTTTAACCTCAAGGATTTAAGTTTTGAATCTTATAAGAAGATAGAAATGATTTTTTTTTTCTCTATACTTAAACAATATTTAGATTTAGTCTTTTAATTTTTTAATTTAAGTGTTTGATTTTAATTTTAGTTTATTTTTTTAATTTTATTTATTAAATTTAATTATTTAAATAATTTTATAGTTAAAGTTTTTCTCTAACTTCATTTTATCTTTTAATTTTACTAATTTTAAGGATGTTTTGGTTTAAATGTAAATATGAGTTGATATGATTAACAATAAAATTTGTAGATTATGAAACATGGTTAATAATAAATAAGTTGACAATGATTGTTAAGTATTTAAAATAAAAAATAAAAAATACTTTTGATAAAATAAATAAATATTTTTTGAGTAAATAAAAAAAATTAGTGATGATTGAAAAGTTTCTTCTGATGATTTATTGTAAAATGTGTAAAAAATATATAATTTTTTTTGTCAAAATGTTGCTATTTTAAAAATATTGGTTAAATTAAAAATGATTTTTTTCTCTTTACTAAAAAAATTAAAATTAAAATTAAAATAATTTTTATGAAATAAATTAGAAAATTAAATTTAAAATGAAAAGATGTAGTGAAACTTAAATTAAACTTAAATGTTAGAATTGGATAAATTTTTTATAAAATAAGCCAAAAACTTAATTAAACAAAAGACAAAAAATATAATTTAACTTTATATTTTTATTCTTTTAAGTGTATATAAAATTTTAATTTAATTTTTTTCACCTAATTTAATTTTTAATTAATTTTGTAACTTTATCATTTTCTTTTCCTTAACTTTGTTAAACTAGTTAACTAGTAAATAGATTTGTGTGTTTCAAGATTTGTTTATATAATTTTTGTTAATTTATTTTTTAAAAATAATTTTAAAAAATTATAATTTAAATATTAAAAAAGGTAAAATTAATATTTTTATTTTCTAACTTAAAGGGTTAAATTTGATTTTATCATTTAACTTTATTTTATTTTATTTTGATCATCTTACTTTTTAAAATATTTCAAATAATTCATTTTCTATTAAAAATATTAACTTTGATAAAAAAAAATTTGTCATGTATATTGTTTTGCATTATTTATCGTCTTTTTTCTCGTATTTGTGCACTATTTATTTTTTATTCAAATATTTGATTTTGCTTATTAGGATTGCAAGTCACTTCAAGTTAAGAGCAACAATCAATTCTATTTTCTCATGTTAGCAATAAAGTATATAATTAAAAAAAATTATCATAATAAGTAGTATTAACCATGAATGAGGTCTTAAATTAAAGGTAAAGTTATCATGTGAATGGCATAAAGAATGAGAGGATAAAGAATAAAAAATAAACAAATGTAAAAGTATTATGGAGGCAATTTCTTAACCATGATACATGCTTTATATATTTCTTCTATACTTAAATTAGCCCAATTGTACACGCATAGAACTTATTATATGAAAATCTAGAAAAAGAAATGTGAAGAACGTAAGAAAAAAAATTAAATAAAAAATAGTCAATTATACAAGCACACAATGACTTCTTCATAGGTTCTCTCAAACCTTTATATTTATATAATGTAGGTTAATCATTATTTTTATTTAAATCTTTCCCTATCTTGCAACTCAAGGAAGAAAGTAAAATCAAATATTTGAAAGAATGATAGATAGTGCATATACTTGGAAAAGAAGACATTGAATAATGTAAAATAGTACATGTAGTACAAAAAGACAAAAAATAACAATGAGTTTAATATTTTTAATAGAAAATAACTTATTTAAAACATTTTAAAACATTAGAGATAAAAATGAATCAAAATAAAATAGGAAGATGAAATCAAATTTAACCTTTAAGTTAGAAGACAAAAATTATTAATTTAGCCTAAAAAATTACAATCATAAAATAATTATTTTGAATACGAAACAAAAATTAAAAATGCAAAAAAGCAAAAACATATAATTAACTTTTGAAATAAATTATATATATAAAGATGGTAACTTAAAGTCTTTTTTTTTTTTTTTGTTAAATAAGGGGACTTAACAGCCCAAAAACAACAAGGACACTCAGACAAAAGGCATGGAGATCCACCGACCACCAGCATCCAAATTTAGAAAGGGAATAAGAGGGACAGGGGAACATCAAATTGGAGAAAAGGGAAAGGGGGATTAAGACCAATCTTGACCAAAGCATTCACACAAAGATTTGTCTCATGACAAGAATGAGCAAACCTAGCAAAATTAATTATATTAAGCGATTCTCTAATCCTACAAATCAGAGAATGCAAAGGATGAGAAAGAGGCTGGACTTGAAGGACAAGATTGAGGGTTTCCTTGGAATCCCCTTCAATCTAGATAGTTTGAATGGTATTTGAACCACAAATTGGATGTCCATGAGAATGCCCCAAAGTTCAGCTTCTAAAGGAGAGAAGGGGTTAAGATTGGTATAGAATCCAGCTATGAACTTTCCATTGTAGTCATGAATTAGGCCACCATAAGCAACTGTACCACTAGTTCTAGATACTGCCCCATCAATATTAAGTTTCAGCTGGCCAACAAGAGGAGGAACCCATTTCACCTTTCTACGATCTATTGCTAAATTAGCCAAAGAATAAGAGTTATTCCTGCAACAACCAGAAAAATAATTAGCATCAAGAATAGCTTTTTGGGCTAACAAATGAGGCTGGGCAGAATGCTTTTGAAAGATAAACTCATTCCTATCTTTCCAAATGTGCTACATAATAGTGCCAAAAATCATAGGCCAGTTATGGACAGTTCTCGTACAAGAATTAGATAAATTAGATAACATTCAGGCAGATAAACCAAAGTTAAAAAACTGAGCCCAGTGCTCAGGGAGGATAAAATGATCCCAAACAGTCCTAGCATAGAAACAGTCTCTTATAGTATGCATAATGGATTCAGTATTGTCACTACCTATAGGACATAAAAGGGGAATCAGTCATACCCCTTTTGACTCTCTCCTCGTAGTAAGGAGTTTTCCATGCGCAAATTTTCAGAGGAAGAAAGAAAATTTAGGAGGACCATCCCAATTCCAAATAGACTTAAACAGGTCACGGCAATAATCAGAATGAGGAATGGAATAAAATAATAATTGGTAAGCAATCTTGATAGGGAAAATTGCATTATCAGTTAGGGTCCAATACAGAGTGTTAGGGCCATTAACCTTATCAGGGGGTTTAATATAAGATATGGAGTCACAGATAGATATAGGAAGAAAGAATTTGATTTTGTCCCAAACCTAATTCACATTAGCAGCAAAGAGAGCCACAGGGGAGCCCAGATCTTGATCAGACAAAGGACTATTAGAAAAACTGGAGAGTTTACCAAGATTAGGGATCCAAAGGTCAAACTAGAACCTAATAGATATTTCATCCTTAAAACAGACCAACCCAGGCCTTAGGAAAATTAGGGCCAAAACATCATGAGATTCTTTCAAAGATGAGATTCTCTATAGTGTTTCCTAAAACCCAAAATGTTACCAAGGCTAAAGTTATATTTGTGACTCAAGACTTGAGCCCATAGGTCACAAAGAGAGTTGACTAATCTCCATCAAAGTTTCATAACATAAGCTTTATTTAACATAAACAAGCCCTTAAAACCCAATCTACCTTCATTTTTGAGTTTACAAATGTGTTGCCATCCAACAAGATGAAATTTCTTGTTACCTAAAGACCCCCATATAAATCTTATATAGAGGTTGTTCATTTCATTACAAATGGAAGAGGGGATTAAGAAAGACTGCATTATATAAGTAGGAATACTCATTAAGCAAGACTGGGCCAGGGTAACCCTACCAGTTAAAGAGAGGAAATTTATTTTTCATAAAGATAATTTTTGCCTAATTTTGTCAATCAAAAAGGTGAATTGGCTCCTAGAAGGTTTAAGATGAGAGATGGGGATCCCAAGATAATTTCCAAGTTTGTTGATAGGAGTAACATTTACACAACTACTAATAAAGTGAATAAGAGAGGCATCAATGTTCTTGGAGAAAAACCAAGAATATT